GGGAGCCCCCCGGCCCCAGCGCGAGCTCAGTGCTGGGAGCCCGGGGCTTCGGTCCGCGCCGAGAGCAGGCGGCTCCTGCAGCAGGTAGGGCGCGGCGGTGATGGGAGGGGGAGCGGGTGGCAGGCAGAGCCCAGCTCACCTGAGATAGGTAAGGAGCCGAGCCAGGAAAGTGTCCATCAGCGGTCGGGAGGTGCGCAGCAAGGGCAGGCCGCCCAAGGGCACGGGCTGGACTAGGACTAGAAGAAGGCACAGAGTTCGGTTGAGGTCTCACCTTGATCTCTAGTGCCCTTGGGAGGAGGGTGATGTAGCTCCTGACCCTTAAAAGGGCAAATAGTTCTGGTGGGTTTAGGAGCCACCCGGGAGGGGGCAGGGCTGGGAGTGCTGGGACAGGCACTGACAGTGTTCATTTCCCCTGAGCTGGTCCAGGAGTTGACAGTGTGTCCCTCCTGGGAGCTGTGGCTGTTGTCCCTGACCAGGGCTCTGTATCCAGGAGGGAGGGGGCCTTCTGAGGCAGGGAGGGCCCCGCCAGAGCAAGACTGACCTGAGAATGGTGGGGGCAGCTGGACCTTCACTCCTGCATTCTCTGTTCAGGGTAATTCTTGGAGCCTCGAAAGTGGGAAACTGACCCAGAGGGGTGGTGACAGGCTGGTGTTTGTTCTGGATGAGGCGCTTGCTGGGAAGCACCAGGTCTGGTGCAGGTGTGGGCACTGGGTTCCTCCCAGGCAGAGGAGGGGAGATATTTGGGGTCACTAGGAACTGTATCACCTTGCTCTAGGCTCCTGGCACAATCCCAGCCCACCTCCCTGTTTGGGGCTGTGAGGGCTGCAGCCTTCTAAGACTGGTTTGCTGTGTGGCGTTTGGATTATGGTGCTGTCTTATATCTTTCCACTTGGGTCCACAGAGTTTGGAAGGCTCAAAATGTACCTGTGGCAACATTCCAGCTCCCTTCTTCCCCTTCACTGGGGCAGCCAGTGAAGCCAGGCCTGTGTGTGTGTGCGCGTGTGCTTGCATACACATGTCCCAGAGTGATCCCTCTGCCCCGCTTGCCTGGCTGCCCCTGAGGGCATGGATTATGGCATATTCATGTTATACTCCACAGTGCCAGGCATAGGCTGTACTTATAAACAGAACTCTCTGTCCTTCCTAAGCTTTGGCCGGGTCATCACCACGGTGACAGACCATGGTGAGGGACTGGCCTGGGGAGTAGTTGGTGCCTGAGCCCTTGCAGTGGCTAGTGGCTCAGGTGTGATTCTGACAAAAGCCTGAGCCTAGCTTAGGGCCCAGGGGCAGGACGAAGCCTGGGGGTGTTGGCTGGAGAGTGTTGGCCGGTCTTCCCAGACTACTGTTTCTCAGTCCTGGCAAAGGGGCAGAGGGTCCAGCCAGGGAAGGTGGCATGGCAGAATCTCTGGACTTTCAGGCCCCTCCAGGAGTCATCCAGACTCCCCCTCTTTCCTAGAGCCTCATGAGTTTTCAGGGGGAAGTGAGCTCACAGTCCCCCTTCCTTCTCTGTCTCTATCAGACCCTCTTGACTTTACTTTCTCTGGTGGGTGGTGGGTCTCCTTGCTTCCATGTCTCCCTACCTCCTGCACCCCCCATGCAGCCAGCTGTGGGGTAGGTGCCAGGTGGGCCACCCCAGGCTATCTGCCGAGATGGAGGAAGGAGCCAGGGCACAGGAGCTGGTTGATCAAGGAGAGGGAGGGGAGAAGGAGGGGAAGGGAGTGTGTGTGTGGGTGTGTAGCAGCCACAGGGACAGGGATGGGGACGAGTGTCTGTCTGCATTCGGATGAGCTGGTTTCTGAGCTGCCTCTTGAGAGAGCCTGGCTTTCGCCCATGACTCACTCCCTTCTTTATCTGCAGGAGTACACTCTCCGTCCCAGCCCCAGCCTGTGCCCACTGCCCCTTGGCTCTGGCTC